CCAAAACTTCAGCGATGCCAAGATTACAGTTTAATACATTACTGATCATTAATAATAAAAAATAAATAAACCGTACAAAAGGATTATAATTACCTATCTTAATACGTCCCTCTTACTGTCATCATCATTGCTACTCCTTAGAATGTTACTTGGTATTCGTTACTCAGAGCATTTGCCCATTCCTGCTATAAACTAACGACTTTTAATTGTATGTATGTATATATATATATATATATATATATATATACTATTATTGTCTTATATTATTTGTAAAAGGTGTTTTTTTTTGTCTCTTGTTGATTGAGCTCTCATTTCAAAGATTTTCTTTACCTTTAGTTAGAATAAAATAGTCATATCTCCTCGAAATTTCTGGGAAAAGAGCTATGAAGTTTATTTGCTAATAATTTAAAAAAAGTTGTTTTTTCTTGGCTGATATATACTTTATTATTTCTTAGACATTATTTTTTTTTCGTAAATTTTAAATGTTTTACCTTTCCAGTCAGCGTTTAAAAATAGGCTTTGCAAAGCAATTTATGAAAATATTTTGGCCTATTATGTTAAATGGAATATGGAAGGAACAATTAATTCCTCCCCCACATAATACATAGGATCTAATTATTTCCATATTGGAAAAAAAAATTCTGAGAATTATTCGTACGGGCGAACTAGTTATAATTTATTATTGAATGAGAAGTAAGTGAAATATTCATGGTAAATAAAAGAAAAACTTAGTATTTTTATTTTGAAAGTTCTGGTGATGTTCAAATTCTCCACTCAAGACATGATGGTATATTACCCACTTACCATAATGTCTTTAGGCGTTAGCTATGCGCTCTCGCTCGATCTTCACTGGATTTTGCACAGTTGAGAGAGTAGTGCAAGGATTTCCTGTAGTCCTGCTTTTCCTCTGTTGTTGGTGGGACAAGCCTGGCTTAGAGTTCCCTCGCTTCATTATAAATAGTATAGGCATTTCTGTGATTTTTTGTTTTAAATTTACTTATCTCTTTATTTTATTTTAATTTATTGTTCTTATTTAGTTGTTACTTTGCTTCTGTTTATTATATATTTTTTTATAAATATAATGTGAATGTAGTTTTACCTCACTATAACCATTGTCCATGTGACAACAAATTAATTATTTAAATTTTATATATTTTTTAAATAGTAAGCGATGTTAATGCTAAAGACATGTTTTTAATTTTTCGAATACTGTTATTTTTAATTTATTTTGATTTTTAATAATTGATTACTTATTATTTTTCATCATAACCTTTTTTTTTATCATATAGCACTTAACTAAGATTCCTTTTCCAAGATGGCGTTAAAAATAAATGCATCTTTCTCATCAGTGTGGATGTATATTAGTAATTTTTTACAATTAGTTCCACCTCTTGCTGTTTTATTTTTTACCTAATTCTACAATGTTATATGTCACTGTTATGATATATATATAATTAATAAATTTTACATTATTATCAACATTGGAATTTTTGTAATTGGTTTAAAATATTAGTAATCATTTACATTTTACATAAATGAGTTTCAGTTTTTCTCTGATTCGAAGAAAATAAAATAAAAATGTACTTCTCAGTAAACATATTATCATTTTTAAATAATCATGAATATCAAATATTATCCATTAATGGTACGTAGCATATTACATTCCTTAATTGCTTCATATTTCACATTTTGAGAAAAGTTTCACAGCCTAATCGAAATACTTTAATTAATTAATTAACAATGGAAACAAGAATAGCACAAAAGTCAAGCAGTTAACTGTTTAAACAATTTACTGACTGTCTGAATTTAAAGACTGTCTTCAAATCAAAAATAATACTATAAAAAAGTAATATTAAAAATAAATAAAGGTTATTATTTTATTTATTTTTGTTTAATAGGAGGTTTCTCGAGTGAATTTTGTTATAAATGTCTTTTGAGAAGAGATAATAAAATTATTTTTAATGACTAGCTTATCAACTTTGATATTTAAATATACTACCTTCTTGAGTAATTTTAACTCAAGAACATAAAATTATGTTATTATACCATTATTCATTTAATCATTTATTTGTTTATTATATTCTTGTATTTATTTGTATTAAATATTATTTAAATGTATAATATATTTTACATTAGGGAAGGAGATGGTCCGGGGTGGCGGTCATAAATAGACTAAATAGTGGCAAAACTATTTTATTAAAAGCCAACGTTTCGGCACAAGGGTACGTCAATTTAAGGGGTAAGCAAATTTTTCCAAGGGTACTTACCATATTTTCTAGTTCTAAGTAAAACTCCTTGCTGAACACCTGTAAGTCTCTATTTTTATTATTTTAATTTTATTTACTTATTTATTTATTTGTTCTTTTCTTTCTCCACACCCCTTTATGTTAATTATTTCATATTATTTATTTATTTATTCTTTTCTTTCTCCACATCCCTTTATTTCAATTATTTCGTATTATTTTTTTTTTTCCTTTTCTTCCAATTTCTCCTGTAGATCTATAGAAGTATATTCACAATTACATATATTATGTATCACACTACAACAATTGTTACTATCTATTTACTTCAGTTTAGGATCTTGTTACTTAGCTTACTCTATCTATATAGCTTATTGTTCATAATATTTCAATTTACTTACTGTTTATAATTTCAATAAATGTATTCACATTGTATTGTAATTTTTACCTAAATATTATGTAACTTCCACAATTCTCTATAGCTTTTTATATCTTGTCCGTTTTAGCCCTGAAGAAGACCTGCAAAGTCGGGTCGAAACGTTGGCTTTTCATAAAATAGTTTTGCCACTATTTAGTCTATTTATGACAGCCACCTCGGACCATCTCCTTCCTTTATAATACAAGCATCAGTAGCTGACATGGTGAAGGAAATTTCTTTGAACTTTTAGGTGTAAAACCTAAAATATTGATGTTATTGTAGTTTTCTTGGATTCCACTTCTCATCTTACCACGGCACATCTATTATTTTATCCATGAAACATTCTTCTCTATTTATAACAAATTGTAAATATAGGGGAACATTTTATTGTACCAGCAGTTGACACTGTTTGATTTGAAATTTTCCTATAACTGACAAGGTTATAATTATGCGAAATAAAGTATTGAAACTTTATATTCTTCATTCTAAAATAGATATTAACAAAAATCACCTTTATCTTATTTTAAAACTAATGTCATGCATTTCCCGATTTATATTTATCGGTAAATGCTAGACACTGTTCGGGACTTGTTTTTTTTTCAATAGGAAAACCTATTTTTGCATTATATTTGATCCATATCACTAGCAATTTTTCTTTAAACGAGGTAGTGGATGGTACAGTTTTAAGACCCTATATTGAGTATATATAATCTAATTTATGAAAATACAGGCCTGTCAAAAACAGGCAAAAAGTCCAAAATATATTACTCATTACATTTTGTTATTCTTTTAACAATATAGATTAAAACACTCCAAGAAAAAATAAAACAAAAATTTTGAGATAAATCAATGTTTAGAGGAAAGTTAAAGTTAAAAAGGAAAAGACAGATCTCAGGTATGATGATCTAGGGGGTCTCTCGGGCTGAAGCCCTCCTCCCCCTCCCAAAAAAAATGGTAAGATATAACCATGTCTTAGGAAAAAAATATTTAATAATTAGCTCTAAAAGTATTACTGTTCTTGTAATTACATTTGATTATACCTAAAGAATCACTTAAACTTTATTTCATACAGATAATTATTTCCTTTATTTTTCTTCGTAATTAATTATCTTACATATTTTTTAAAAAATTCTTTTTGGCTGAAGCCCTCCCCCCAAAACTAAATCCTGGATCCACTAGTGGTCCGTACTAAAAGATTGGTGTTCCTGAGATATTAAGTAGACTGTGAGAGACCTTTCTGATTTGCTATCCATTATTTTGGTATCGGTTCCCCGCAAGATTAAACCAAATAATAATAATAAAAGGCTTAGCGAACCCGAAAGTTCGATGCCGACATCACCAATCGGTTATTACACACCTCCCTCCATCGTTGGCCGTCCAAATCTAGTCCCTTCAGATCGGCTTTAATGCCATCTTCCCACCTTCGCTTCGGTCTACCCCTTGGACGTTTACCGTTCGGTACAGCAATTATTAACCCTTTAGGAATTCCATCGCACTAAGCCCAACATTTTACAAGCCTATTTGATTCGCCGGGATGAAATCCCCTCAATTATATTAACCGGATACAGTTCATGCAATTCGGCACCGTCTGAACACTCCGGTTAATCGGTTTCAAAAACCTTAAGATGTTGCTCATCCCTTAATGTAAGCGGTCACGTTTCGCATCCATAAAGGGCTGTAGATAATGGTTTTATAGATTCTAATTTTTAAGTTCAGAGACAAGAGGCGCGAGCTAAGTAGTTTTGTCACAGAAAAATAACAAGCATTTCCCGCCTTCAGTCTAACCTTAATCTCTTCTTCGATTTCGTTTTTTCTAGTTATCGTAGACCCTAGACTTCTCTACCTGTTCAAACATATTACCATCTATATCGATATCACCATTTTTACAGCTATTCATATATTTCGTCTTACCCGTGTTTATTTCGAGACCTAGTTCCTTACTGGCATTCAATAACGTTGTCGTATTTAGCTTTATAGTTTCCACGTCTTCGCTTAACAGTACTAGATCATCCGCATAGCCTAGCGCAGGTGTTGTTCCATCCAGATCCAACCTTTTTTCGGTACGCATTACCTCCCTAATGGCATGTTATATAATGCCAAATTGAACAGGACATGCGAAAGGGAATCCCCTTGTTCAAACCAAAATATAGTAGCCCCAAATTCATGAAATAATCTTGAGATCATGAAAATAAGATCATAAATAACCTTGTAGGTCATGAGATTGTATTATTCCGTTTTTTGAGGTGGATGTCATCTATTGGTACACTGTCAGCTACTGGTGGCTTTTACCCTATTTATTAAAAATTAAGACAAGAAGGACAATTGGTAATAAATTATTAAAATATTTATAAAAATTTATTTTATAAATGAAATACAACAGTAAACTAAACAGATTGTGCATCCAACACTTATAAAATTATTTACATCTTACATAACTAACAATAGAATTTTCAGAATAAAATCTGATGAAACACTAACAGAAAAATATCATCTAAAATAAACATGCATAATGTACAATTAAATATTTTATTCTCAATGCTACAAATCATACAAAATTTCTTCCTTTTTTTTATTATTATAATAAATCTACAAAAGAAAAATCAGTGTATCATTGCTCGATATTCCTATATGCATATAAGTATTACACGTCACCAAGGAACATCATAGAAACATAACAGCCATTTTCATATAAATTATTTATTAATAACGAAATCTATCATATAATTCATTGCACAAAAGTTTATGTGTCATTTAAAAAATATACTTACATATATGTGTATATTACAAAATATATTTTTCCACCAAATAAAATTCTGTGGTAACTAATACAAATATAACAATAAATTTGTATTCTTCTATTTATCACCTCATTCATTTAGTCATTTGTTTTTTATTACAATAATAATATATGAACTAGTTATTCTTATAGACATGTATAGTTGTATTACTTCTCTGTAGTAGTCGTAAAAAAATATTATCCAAAATACCACACTTTCTATCTATAAGTGTATTCAAAACCATGAAAGATAAATGGATTTATTGTTAAAATATCACTTTTGACTGTTACATATAGTGACGTCAATTATAGATAATTTATGTTGGGAATTCTCAGTCCTTTTAAAGGCTGAAGATACATAATCTTGACTTCTAGCTCGTCAATCATATTGCACAGCCGTTATCTACATTTTATGACAACAGGTGTAGATATTAAGGTACAATTTCGCAGCATTTACTGCCGACCGTTTATGCTTTTGAATTTCTGTAGTACTGCTCACCGCAGCCGTTGAATAATAAGGTTGGGCCACGTCTGTACTATAAAATGTAAATCAGCCCACCTTCTACGAAGTGATGGTATCTTGCTCATCATTAAAAGTTAGTTTGATTTAGGTATATTTGAATCCCTCTATAAAATATTATTGTTACTTCAATTCTACAAAGGCATTTTACAGCCGGGGCCATAGAAATTGGCCAAAAAACTAAAATTAACTAAAATATAACTATATAAATCCCTTTATTTACTATCTGCAAGATGTCTAGAGATTGCTTTGCTAGTTTCTAAAAATAATGCACCATTAAGCGGTCAAATCGTTCTTTTTTTCTCCCAATCCCTTTCTTTCACTTCAATACAAGAATCAAAAGAAATGGTAATGAAATTTCTATGATCACGACAGTATCTAGTTTTGTTTAAATTTCAAACAATTTTGAATTTATTTGTGTTTGGCTTGATTATAACAAAGGTAATGAAACATATCAAGATGGCTGCAAATCATTAGAATTCTTTCGATTTGATAACATAACCTAAAAGCTTCTAACAGCTTCACTACTTCTTCAGCGATCAGAAAGAGCAGTCTGGATATGACGACATACCTGGATTATCGAACAGTTCAACTGTTCAACTGCCAACAATCACTGCGGTGGGCAGTACCAGCGAAATAGTACCTTCACTGTCCAAATGTATAACATGAATATCATATTTACACTTTAACAAATTATAAAATCTAATCAAAGAAACTATACATAAAAATTCTATTCCATAATAATCACTTTTGTTGCGCTACAGAGTCCGCGCTTGAGATCACCCAAGTTCCTATGTACATAGCACAATCCCCAAGTAATTTCTTGCCGTCAGCGCCTCATGATGTCCTCTATGCTGAACCCCTTCTTCGGCGGGGGAGGGGGAGGAGGCGGAGGGGGTTGCTGCTTCGTCTGCTCCTGCTGAGTGGAAGTGCTCGGCTGCTGCTCTTCTCGCTTGATCCATGCCGGAGGATCGGGCGGCGGAGGATCCGGCCGTCGGAACATGGAAGTCGAGGGTGCGTGCAGATCCTTACGCACCGAAAGCTGCGGACGCATTGTATAGTTCTCTGTCGGATGATGACACTGCGTCTGAGGAGACGGAGACCGCCTCCTGTATGATGGCCCCGGAGATGGAGATGGCGACCGCCGATCGTCAGGGCGATGCGTCAGATTCTCCGGTGAGTCGGGAAGTTCCGGAGGGATGTCGCCGACAGCGTGGGTCAGCGCGTGTCGTCGGAGGTCGCAGTTGCGACGGAAGACCTTTCCGCAGGATCCGCACTCGTAAGGCTTGTGGTCCGTGTGAGTGAGGAGGTGGGTCTTGAGGTTGGACCTCTGGTTGAAGGACCTGCTGCAGACAGGACACTTGTGGGGAGACTCCTCGAGGTGCAAGATCTTGTGGACCGCCAGGGTCCGAGACTGGCAGAAACCTTTCCCGCACTCTCCGCACTTGAACGGCTTCTCCTTGCTGTGGATGTACCTGCAAGGACAAAACAAAATTAATCACAGTCAAATTAACAACAAAATAAAAGTATAAAAATCTATATTATTTTTTGAGGCTTTGAACATTTTTCAATCACTTTATATAAAATATTAAAAATTGGTAGACAGTTGCTATTTAATTAACAACCAGGGAGAGGAGATCTAAGGAGGTTCTCTTTACCCTACACCAAATCCACGGCTTGTATAAAAGAATAAATAAATTATCAACCACAACCGGACACTGACTGTCTCATGATTTACAAGTTCAGTCACTGAGGTAATCCTTTCTCAATATTTTGCAATATTAATTAATTATTACTGCTATATTAATAATTTTACTCGACCTTACCACAAGTGAACTATTTAAATATATATATATATATATTTTTTTAAACTTCATTTATTCACCCACACCTGTCATAAGCAATGACAATTAGCTGGTCTGCTGTCGGTAAGAGTACAGGTAGTGGCTTGATCGGCGTGATGGAGAGGAGTGCCCAGCGGCATCCCTTCCTGTCTTGATTTTAGGATATTTTTAAGCGAGGAAATCCTTCATCCAGTTCCTTTTGAGCCTCCTAAGTGTGTTTCGGGCGTGTTAAATGTAGTTATTGCATAGTTAATGCAAGTTATTGTGAAATCGCTTGTAGTGTGTCCGTATGTGATCGTTAACTGTTGGCATTTGAAGGTCTTTATGTAATGTAATGTTTGTGACGTACCATCGAGCTTTGGTTATGGTTCTGAAAGTTAAAGACTGAAAAGTTTGTAGTTTTCGTATGTGGGTCGTTTTGGCTGCTCCGTAAATTTGTGAAGCGTAGGTTCATATGCGCTTAAGTAGATAATTGTAAGTGTTCAGCTTTTGTTTTAAGTTTAATTTTGAGCGTCTTGAAGTGAAGAAGTGAGTATAACATTCGTAGTCTGAGGTTTAAAGTTTTTCTTTTTTTTTTGTTGATATGTGGATCCCATGTCATTATTCTGTCGAATATCAGTCCAAGATATTGTAAAACCTTCAAAGAAAAAAAAAATATAATTTGTCTCTAATTGAAAAAAATACGCAATACCTTCTTAACAGAACGTTCTAATGTTGCCAATATAAAAAACTGAATATATTAAAAAACTAAAAACTTCTACAATTAATTCTTGTTTGTACGAACGATTTCAGGAAATACCAGTATGATTAGAATAATTGAAATGACTTAAATACTTTAGGATTTACAAGATAATGCAACGAACTATCCTAGGTATATACGTATCATCTGCTGTCAGTAGCCCAGGGACAAACTTTCTTGCATATTTTAGTCGACTTAAAAGTAAATTGTTTAATTTATTTTCTCACAAATCAAGACCATTATTATTTAATTTTTATTCGAATAAAATGTGCCCAACTGTGGCTCGTATCCCTTTTCCTCCAAACGCCAGTTAAGATTTATTAATTTATTGTTTAAGTGATTATTCACTATAGCACTATTGTCTAGACAGAACTGGTATAGCTCTTAACTACAAGTAGATATAAAATTTATTATGTATAAAATTTATCCCAGACTATTTTTACTAATGCTTAGCAATGTTTAAAGTTTCCTTGCAAAAATGAAAACCTCTTTGCCCGGATCGGCATTGGATGAACACTACCTGTTTCGAATCCAAGTAGCGTGCATCACGACACAGACTCCGGGCCAGGTAAAAGCTACACTTGCCGTAAGGGTAAGGGACAGCAGGTGTAAAAATGAAGCCGATTATGAAGAAGAGGAGTCCAGAAAAAAGAAGAAGAATGGATCCCGGCCATTATTGACTGAATAGAGTATAATTTTGAAGCATGTTATGTTTTTTCGGTGCAGGCGTCCTTTTTGGGAATACAATAGGGGCGAGATTTATTTGGGAATATGTTTGCATTGGGGGCCATTCTTTAAGATATCTTTGCTTTTAGGCAATAGGATTTAAATAACAAACACCAATGTTAATAAATAATATTATTCTTTTATTTTGGGCTATAAGTTCTCTGTTACTGGGTGGCTACCAGACAGTTAAAGTAAATTCCTTGACATTCTTCTATTTTATGACAGTTTTTCCTAACCGATATGTCTGAGGACACAAATATTAAAAATGCCTAATTTATAACTAATTTTTTTTATCGTGCATAAAAAAAAATTTTCTAAAAATAAATTAAGTGAAAAAAAGAGTAAAATATAAATTGGGTAATTTATTTTTATTGCTTTTAATTTATTTAAGTGAAAACCTCTTTAGGCACGTCTTGGACTTTTTTTTGTGGAAAGTGAATTAGGTTGATCTCCGATGTGTAACGCTCGAGTAAAGTCGGCTAAAGACGACTAATTGAATTGTTTTTCCATATGGATTAAAATACCTCGAAAACTAAAAATCGAACCTGCATATTGTTAGCAAGGGAAATGTTCATCATTTCATCCTCTTTATGATGAACTATTATTTAAAATTGTATCTTAACGCGATACCGTGTTAGAGAGGAGAAAGGAGAAAAATAGTGTGAAAAGCAAATTATAAGGATGATAAAAAAAAGGTTAAATTTTGTTTAGCAAAACATTATCTTTGAGAAAAAATATCACCGACCTTATTTTAACTTCATAATTGTTTAAAATAGCTGATAGTTTAGGTAATTAATAACGTAACAATAAATAAATATTACATTAACAAATTAATTATGATTACAGTATACTAATAACTAAAATAGATGCATAAGTATGTACATGTTTGTAAATTTAAAAAAATCGGTGAAGGTAAGTTGGATTTAATCTTAAAATCTATAATTTAACTATATAAACAAATTATTAACACTCGTCTGTTGAAAATTCGTAAATAGCTTCATCTCATCGTAACCTGCAACTATTTTATTTACGGAAACTCTTGGAATTGGGGCGTTTTCAAGTTGGAGGGGGGCAAGCTTTGTCTATTTAATTAAGTACCAAAAACTCGTAAATACCCATTTGCTTTCTACTTGGATTGTAAGATAATTTGATCACAAAATAAATAAAAAAGGTGTCCTTCAAAAATATTGAGTCGTTTGGCAAGCCAACGACACAAATTTTCAAAATAACTAGGCTATATAGGACAAACGGCCCAATATTTTTTTAGGCCACCTTTTTTATCGATTCTGTCATCAAATTATTGTATGATCCAAGTAAAGAGTAAATGAATGTTTACGAGTTTTTAGTACCTAATTAAATAAACAAAGTTTGTTCCTCTCAAGTTTGAAAACGCCCCAATTCAACAGTTTTCGTAAATAAAATAGTTGTAGGTAACGATGAGATGAAACTATTTACGAAGTTTCAGGCGGATGTTAATAATTCGATAAAAAGGGTCTTTACCACAGATTATATATGACAAAATGAAATACTAAATAGGTGATTTAAAATAAACAAAAATTAATTTTGGATTTGGTTTTTGATTTTTGGGAGGAGCGAGGGAAATGTGCCTCATGTTGCTTTGAAAAAAATTATCTTCCAATAATGTAATGTTTTAGGACTCATGTATGACTTAAAATTTACTAAAAGTAAGTAAAATAAAGTTTCTAAAAAGCAAAGTAAAATCTTCACCTAGTGCCTAGAAACAAATAGAAATTGATAGAATTTTTATTCTTAGAAAATAGTATGTTAACATCGTGCTTGTAGAGACATTAATTTACGCCTGAGTTAACCCAAATAACGATGCTAAAACCAAGGTCTTCAATACAGACAATTATATTTTTTTTTTTCGTGAAAAGACTAGGTCATTCAGAATGATAAATCGATACATTTTATGTAAATAACATATTTACGACGCATATTCAATAATATATCAGTAAATGTCGTGACTAATTTAATTGTATTTGTTTTTCTTATTATAAATATCATCGCCTACACGCTGTCGAATGGTTGGCCTACAGCCGGAATTATAAAATAAATTAAGTAAAAAAAACAAACAAAAACTGGACAAGAAAAACTCTTGTCCTCAAAGCATATTAAATCCCAGCATAAATTAATTAGAAATAGCAAGTACATTGAAATGTCCCTCATCGAAATCGAAGGCTGTAATAAAATCGTTCTGAGACCAACAAGAGAACTCTGAGAGGAATATACATTAATCACGGCACTCCGTAGGAGGCAAGGCTTAGGAGACCTCCCGATGTGACCACGGCGAGGAGAGTCTTGGGAAACTTTTTGTATCATAAATTGATTTTTATATAAAGCCTCATAGTTACAAGTCATATGTATATATATATATTACTATGTGATTATTATCTTTTATTTTCCCTTATAATTGTAACGTAATTTTAATTATAACTGTAACTCATTTATAACTGAGCACTACCCCTAGAAAGATATAGGATGTTGCGGCCAATTCTTTTAATTGTATATGTAAATATTTTGTACTATACGATACGCCCCAGCGATGTTATCGGCCATTTCCGGGACAGTTCGGCTCACGTCGTGTCACATGACATGAACGAAGGTAAAACGACAGGCGCTGGATGTACGAATACTTTCATGAGGTCTCTCATCCTATTACATTCTTTGGATGGAAAACCCAAGGTTTTGGAATGCAGGTTGTGACAGACGATTCCCAGATCTGGGACATTATTTTCCTCCAAGAGGACGTCTGTACGGCGACCCAGCAGCGAGATAGAAGACAAGTCAGTCGGCGAGAGGTTACCTATTTCTTTTTGGGAATTTGGAAACAGGGTAAAACCTCCAGTTTTTGGCACCCTTAACGAAACTTTAAAACATGTCTATTCCCATATAAATCGTGTGGATACTTGGTTTAACTATTTCGGTTCTCTTAAATCAGTAAAATAGTCTCTTTCGTTTATATTTTATAGTAAAATATAAAAATAATCATATGGATCAGCTTTCGGCACCCTGTACTCAATTTTCAAATAGCTTTTTAATAAATTTATTTATTTATGAAATTTAAAACTGTATAAAACAAATATATATCTAGTAAATGTTATAAATAGTAACATAAGAACACTTGTAGAGAATCCACCTATTGGTA